GGAACAAGCAAACAAGAAACATGCAGAAAAGACTCCTCGACCCCAGAACCCGGGAACCTTCGGGGGTTGCAGAAGGTGCTCCCAGCCCAAGGTGCCCCCAGCTTCTCGCTCAAGTTTGGAGCCCCCGGGGCCCTCTGGGCCTCGAGAGGGGTGCTCTGGAGGCCGTACAAGCCTCCTTGGAGACCCCTGGGGGCACCTTGGGCCAGGGGCACTTCTAGCAACACCCGAAGCCTCGCCGTCCCCCATTCCTGCTCGCAGGAACCAGCGCTGAGCCACCTCGGACCCCACACCGGCTCCAAGCTTAGGTCGGGCATGTCCCACTACAGGTGGATTTTGGACGAAAAATTGAAAATAGTCCGAAAATACTCCAAAATGGTCAACAAATGCTCAAATCATCGTCCCCAGAGCATCTTTGGACAATTTTTGGAATTTTCCTCCCGTAGAAAGACACGCCCGACTTAAAACCAGAGCTGAGCCACCTCGGACCCCCCGCCGGCTCCAACCCTCAGGGCCCCTTTGCTTCCGTGGCGATTGAGGGGGCCCAGGGACACACAAATAAATACACGCAAATCCAAGGATTCCCCATTTGTTGCCATATTTTCTGGCTTCTCGCCTTCCCCCCACCTCCCAACATTTTCCAATCTTTCCCTGGGAATCGACGATGAACTGTGCCTCTGTGTGCTTTTGTCCCTCCTGAGCGATCGCCGCCCGTCGACACCAGGTGCTCGAGCTCCTCCCGGCTCCGGGGGTAGGTCTCGTCCTTGGACCCGTGGGCGAGGACGACGGGCGCGGCCGGCGGCAGGGACGCGAGGCTCGGGTGGGCGTTGATCAGCACCGTCGGGCCCGACCACTCCTCGGGCGCCGCTCGGCCCGAAGGGCCCCGTCCCACACTGGGCCGCGGCATCTCGGCTCCGCCGGCCCCCCCCCCGGGCGCGCGGGCAACATTCACGTCCACACCCGGTGCGTCTCGGACTTTCCTTGCAGGGGCGCCACGGGGCCGAGGCGCACTGGGTGCGGGTGAGGAATCGGGCCTCCGAGGGCCAGGCTGTCGTCCATGCCCAGTGCGCCTCGGGTTTCTGGGGGAGGGAGGCCGAAACTCCAAGCTGCGGTGGACATGGACACAAGTCTTGCCCGCAAGGTGGGGATGGACCCCGTTCCCCACTTCGCAGAAGCAGCCAGCATCGGACCGGGAAATCGGGCCGAATCGGAGTGTAAGTCGGATCGGGCCGCATCGGCACGGAGTCGGAGTCGAATCGGATCGGCCGTGCCAGGACGCACAGCAGCGCCACGCAGGCGTCGGGCCGAATCGGATCCAAGGAAAATCGGAATCGAATCGCAGCGATCAAATCGAAATGGACCCTGCACTGGGCCGCGGCATCTCGGCCTCGCCGGCACACACCCCCAGGTGGAGATGGGCCTCGCGAGCACGATGGTGCTCCTACAGTCTTGACCATCACGGTTGACGTGGGACACCAGTGCCCCCATTGAGTCCTACAACAAAGGGGCCGGCGGCGGCGGAGCGGGTTGCGGCCCACACCCAGGTGAATTGCTCAGCACTCAGGGGCACTGTGCCTCATCGCAGCATCGCCTGAGGATGCTCTCCCTCCGCGCACCTCGATCTGCGTGCGCACCGCGGCAGCATGGTCACAAACACTGGCGACGGGGTAGTAGGCAGCCACATGTGCGCCCTATCCCTTCTTGTCAGATGTCCGAAGAACCAGCGGGGGTCTAGAATGCAATCAGACAAGCGCGTCCCACTACTCGCAGAAGAACTACTAGCAAATGGCCTGCATCCGCCCACGGGGGGGCTCACGATCCACCACGTCGAGGCAAGCAAGTTGTTTTCTCTGACTCTTGCAAGTAGGCGCTTTGCGAGTAGTGAAACGCGCTCGGTGAGCAGTGGATGTCTGCAGCCTCGTGAAACCCAGCGTGAGCATCCGACACCCCAGCGTCGAGTAGACCCGTGGAGGCTCGGGGGTCGCAAGTAAGTGGCCGTGGGGCGAAACCAGAAGGGACCAGCACATATCCCCACCTGGGGGGGTCTGAGTTCTAAATTCGGGGAACAAGCAATTGCATAAACGTAACAACTCGGACTGCGCGCCAGGGAGGGGGGTCCAGCGCTGATCCGAGGAATCCGCGCGGACCTCCAAAAGTTTATGTTTATGCCATTGCTTGTTCCCCGATGGGTCGGCTGGGCGGGGCCAAGGCCATGCCAGCGGGGATGGGGATCGACCGAGCGATGCTCACGCCTGCGCCCGCCACAGCGCCACCACGTAGGCGCCGCCCTTGGAAGCGGCCGCGACAACGTCCGGGCGGAAGCGGTCGATCTCGTCGGCGAGCTGGCCCACGTAGTCCGCGGCCCGGAAGCCGGGCTGCTCCGGGTTGGGGAGGTTGTGGACCCACAGAACCTTTGAGATGGCGGTTTTTCATGACGCGACCCCCAGATGTCCAGACCCATTCCCCGCGACCGGTTCTTCATCCCGAGCCGTTTTTGACGGTCCCGAGGCCAGGCAAGGGCCCCCAGGGGCCGAAAATAGCGAAAACCCTTCGGTCGTGACTTTTGTCAGGACTCGAGGGGGTCTGGGTCGTCAGCCTCACACGATGAGACATCGTGCCATGAGGAAACAAGGGCACCTTCGCCAACTTTGAGCACTTTGAGCTTCGCAAGGTGCCCCAGGGTTCTGCGGCCCCCATCGGGAGGTGGTATGTCATCGTGGGGCACCCGTTGGCAGGACGGTTTCTTCTTTGGTGCCTACCGCACTCTAGGATTATGTTGCTCCCATTGCACTTAAGGACGACATCCCAAAAACAATTTCGAGCATCCAGAAGAATATCGAACCAGTGTCGGACGAGCGTCGCCTCCCAGAGCCCGACACGTGAAAACCCTCAAAGTTCTTGGTGCTCGGGATCCCGTCTGGTGATCAAGGCTAGAGTAGGGTGGAACATCATGACTCTAGGACTCAGGCCAGTCTACTTGCATGGCACCTCGCCCCCCCAACCCCCCCCGACCCCCTCGCCGCCTTTTCGAACAGCGCTGGGCCGGGAGGGCGTGCAAGCGAATCCCGAATTGCGTGTGAAGTGCAGAATTCCTGTCGGACACGCCCGCCCCCTTCCCCCCTCCATGCACGCATACTTGTCAGGGTTTAAAGAAAAAACCTACAGTCGGGCTGCTGAAATAAGGAACGCTAAACAAGGAACGAAGCCCCTCTGTGGCTTCAAAAAGGCCTGGGTGCACGAGAAGGACTAGAGGAACAACCACGGAAGGACGTATAAGGAACATCGAGCCCCTTCCGAATCCCAACTGTTCCTTATTTCAGCGTCTTGGCTGTACGTGAGCTGACTGGAAGACCGGCCCCATTTGAAGGTCCCAACGGGGGCACGAAAGGTGAAGTGAACCTGACAAGACCCGCGCGGAGCTCCTGGGTCGGCGCCGCACACTCTCCACACAACCCCCTGACCCTGGCGCGCCCTGCGAGCCGGTCCGGCGGCGACCCGGGCCATCGGCGCAGATCTCCGAAGGTCGAGGCTCTCATGCCCTCGTGTGGCAGGTCCGACGTGCTGACTCGTCAACAGACGGGGTCGCCGGGAGTGCGGCCCTCTCCCCGTGGCCGGCTCTTCCGCCGAGGCTCGGCGAGTGGGGCCCCGAGAGGCCGAGAGCTGCGCACGGCTGCCGAGTCGCCTCGGCCCGCGCATTCGAGGTCTGGGCCAGCTGTTCGGTCTTCCACGAGCCTGGTAGCCGGCGCGGCGCACCATGTCCCCCTGCCTGGGGTTCAGCTGCTGCCCGAAGCCGGGGCCGACGATGAGCACGCGGACCGAGGCGCGCGCCGGGCTGCTGTGGGGGCGGGCCTGCGGCGTTCCTCTGGGTGCCTGGCTGAGGTACGACACGAAGTCTTCGAAGTCCACACGCCTCTTTCCTCGGTGGCTTGCACGAGGGGCCCAGAGTACAGGCCTCCTAGACGGGGTCGGAGCAGGTAGGGCCAGAGGATCGTGCCGCATCGACAACGCATCGCCGATGCATCGTCGATGCGTCGCCGACGCATCGGCGACGCATCGGCGACGCCGACGTGGAAAAAATCGAGCGCCTCATCGAGCCGCACCGCCGATGCACGGGCGATGCGGCGCGATCCTCCGACCCCATCTACTCCGACCCCCTGGGAGACCTAGACTTGGGTCGGGCATGTCCTCCTACAGGGAGATGTTGGGCGAAAGATTGAAAATAGTCCAGCAATACCCCAAAATAGTCAAAAAATACTCTAAAAGATCGTCCCCCGACTATTTTGATTCGACTATCTCTGAATATATTCCTCCTGCAGAGGGACAGGCCCGACTTAAATCTACTCCGACCCCATCGGCGGTGGACAAACCTCCCTTTAGTAAACCACCATTTAGTGAAAACGGCCCAGGACCGATATCGACTGACCTGGACCCGCAAAAATGACGGCGCCGACGCCCCCTCGCGAACCGAAAACGGCCAATTCGCTCATCGACGTGTCTGACTACCTACCAGACCACCCCAACCCAACCCGAAGACCCGAATTTGACCCGGAGTTCGGGTTGGGGGGGGACGGGTTCCATGTGTTTGCCAAATGCTCCCCGACCTCCGCCCACTGGAAATCGAGGGCAAATTGAAGCCTTCGGGTTGGGTTGAGGTGGTTTGGTGGGTGGTGAGTGTCAGGGTAGGAGGCCCCTCAACCTCCGACCCCCTCTGGGGGGGCCCAGACGGAGGCACGAGAGCGGCCCTACGGTGCGCGGCCCGCCGATACCGCTGCAACTCGGTGCGCCTAACTGTCGCGGCCCGCGCGCTCGGGCCGCGCGCCCCCCCTTGCGCGCCCCCTTTGGGAGCCGCGCACCATAGGGGCCCCTCCAGCCAGGGTCAGGTCGGGCATGTCCCCCTACAGGCGGTCTTTCGACGGAAAATTGACACATAGTCCAAAAATCCGCCGGCCCCCTTGTGGGGCCACCAGGCTGTAGGAGCGAGGTTCGCAGTTTCCTGTGCCAGTTGTAGCTTGTAGTTTCCAGTGTTACAGTTCTGCTTCTTGCTGGTTACTGTAACTAGTTGACTTATTGCTGGTTACTGTAACTAGTTGATTGACCGCGCGAAGGGGGGGAGGCCCAAACCGGCTTTTTAGCACCCCCTGGGCGCGTTGTCTGAATTGCTGGGGGGGCTCGAAATCGACACCCCTCACGCAGATCCGCGGGGTCAGGGTCCAAAAACACAATGGATTTGCCACATTTCTGAAATTCGGTGCCACCCCTCACGCAGATCCGCAGGGTCAGGGTCCAAAAACACATGGGATTTGCCACATTTCTGAAATTCGGTGCCACCCCTCACGCAGATCCGCGGGGTCAGGGTCCAAAAACACAGGGGATTTGCCACATTTCTGAAATTCGGTGCCACCCCTCACGCAGATCCGCGGGGTCAGGGTCCAAAAACACATGGGATTTGCCACATTTCTGAAATTCGGTGCCACCCCTCACGCAGATCCGCGGGGTCAGGGTCCAAAAACACAGGGATTTGCCACATTTCTGAAATTCGGTGCCACCCCTCACGCAGATCCGCGGGGTCAGGGTCCAAAAACACATGGGATTTGCCACATTTCTGAAATTCGGTGCCACCCCTCACGCAGATCCGCGGGGTCAGGGTCCAAAAACACAGGGATTTGCCACATTTCTGAAATTCGGCGCCACCCCTACGCAGATCCGCGGGGTCAGGGTCCAAAAACACAGGGGATTTGCCACATTTCTGAAATTCGGTGCCACCCTTCACGCACATCCATCGCAAGGCGTGGTAACCCAAACTGCGAGAACTCCCTCGGCCCTTTAATCGCAAGGTGTGGTAACCAAGCCCGTAAACCATACACGTCTTACCAATCGCCAGGTGTGGTAACCCCTCTTGTGATCAGTTGGTTTTGCTGATTGCGAATCGGCTTCGCATGAAGTTTCGATACTGCTTCACGACAGCGCCAAGGCCTCATGACTTAGCTCTTCCATGGCCCATTCTCCGAGAGAGGGGGCCGGCGGCAGGGGGCGAAGCCCTTACGGTATATTCTAGAATGGTAAAAATTATCCCGGCAAAGCAACCTAACAGCGATGTGTAGGAGCATATCTGGAAGCATTCCCCTTAAGATTCAGATGAGAATCCAGTTGTAGAATTCTGCTGTTCTCGCAGTCGTAGTCGCATTCGCGATGACAGTCGCAGTGGCAACGGCAGTCGCAGTCACAGCCTCAGCCTCAGCCTGCCTCAGCCTCAGCCTGCCTCAGCCTCAGCCTCAGCCTGCTTCAGCCTCAGCCTCAGTCTGCCTCAGCCTCGGCCTCAGCCTCAGCCTGCCTCAGCTCAGCCTGCATCAGCCTCAGCCTCAGCCTCAGCCTGCCTCAGCAGCCTCAGCCTCAGCCTGCCTCAGCCTGCCTCAGCCTCAGCCTCAGCCTGCTTCAGCCTCAGCTCAGTCTGCCTTCAGCCTCGGCCTCAGCCTCAGCCTGCCTCAGCCTCAGCCTGCATCAGCCTCAGCCTCAGCCTCAGCCTGCCTCAGCATCAGCCTGCCTCAGCCTCAGCCTCAGCCTGCCTCAGCCTCAGCCTCAGCCTGCTTCAGCCTCAGCCTCAGTCTGCCTTCAGCCTCGGCCTCAGCCTCAGCCTGCCTCAGCCTCAGCCTGCATCAGCCTCAGCCTCAGCCTCAGCCTGCCTCAGCATCAGCCTGCCTCAGCCTCAGCCTCAGCCTCAGCCTGCCTCAGCCTCAGCCTCAGCCTCAGCCTCAGCCTGCTTCAGCCTCAGCCTCAGTCTGCCTTCAGCCTCGGCCTCAGCCTCAGCCTGCCTCAGCCTCAGCCTGCATCAGCCTCAGCCTCAGCCTCAGCCTGCCTCAGCATCAGCCTGCCTCAGCCTCAGCCTCAGCCTGCCTCAGCCTCAGCCTCAGCCTGCTTCAGCCTCAGCCTCAGTCTGCCTTCAGCCTCGGCCTCAGCCTCAGCCTGCCTCAGCCTCAGCCTGCTCAGCCTCAGCCTCAGCCTCAGCCTCTCAGCATTCAAAATGTGGCCCGGGAATGGAATTCTGGGAACTCGAAGAACACGAAGTGGCCTACAGTTGGCTCCGGGCATTCAAAATCATGCCCAGGAATGGAGTTCTGGGAACTCGAAGACCACGAAGTGGCCTACAGTTGGCTCCAGGCATTCAAAATGTGGCCCGGGAATGGAGTTCTGGGAACTCGAAGAGCACGAAGTGGCCTACAGTTGGCTCCGGGCATCCAAAATGTGGCCTGGGAATGGAGTTCTGGGAAGTCGAAGAGCACGAAGTGGCCTACAGTTGGCTCCGGTTATTCAAAATGTGGCCCGGGAGTGGAGTTCTGGGAGGTCGAAGAGCACGAAGTGTGTGACTGTTGGCTTAAAACGAGCCCGGCTCTGTTCCCGGCCCTCCTCCCCGGCACCCGCCCAGACCCCCCTGTGGAGTCCAGATGCTCTCTTTTGACACCACTAGAAACCTATCAGCAAAAGCTGTTAGGTAAATAGTCCAAAAAATCGTCCCCCTGACTATCTTTTGACTATTTCTGGATACTCCCCCTGTAGAGGGACAGGCCCGACTCAAGGCCAGGGGCGGCCCTTGCCGCGCCGCCGATCTCCCCTGGCCATCTCGTGGAAGACCTGGCCGACCTGGTCGAAGACGTCCTCGTCGTCCATGACGCTCTGGCTGTCCGCGCCGGGCAGCAGCAGGGAGGCCACGCGGGCGTTCTGCTGCACCGCGGCGACGAGCTCCAGCTTGCTGAGCTCGCCGCTCCTGTCGGCGTCGATGAGGTCGTAGAACCCGCGGAGCTTGGCGTCGCCCGCCGCGCCCTTGGGCGGCGCCGCCCGGCGAAAGTGGTCGACGAACTCCGCGTAGCGGACCCGTGGCTTGCCGCCCGAGATGGCGTCGAAGGCCGCGTCCGCGGCGTCGAAGCTCCGCTCGCAGCTCAGCAGCGAGCTGGTGTCCACGCCCGGGAGGACGAGGGCGGCCACCTCGGGGTCCTGGTTGATGGCGGCGATGAACTCCAGCTTGGATATCGAGCCGCTGGCGTCCGCGTCGATGCGCCTGCAGATGCTCCTCACTAGCATAGGGGGCCACGGGCCCTGTGGGGCACGGGGCCTGGACCCGGGGCCTTCCCCCAGGACGAGGCCTTCATCCCGAGCCGTTCTCTGACAGCCCCAGAGGCCCGTGGAGGGCCCGAGAGCCCAGAAGCGGGGAAGTGCCTCAGGACCCATTTCCCTCGGGACCCCCTTTGTCCCCCACGGCGATCCTCAGCGCGCAGACGCCCGCGTCCTCATCCAGGCTGGTCGAGGCCCAGCTGTGGACGGAGCCGCTGCTGCCCAGGGAGCCCAGCGAGCCCGACACCGACGACGCGGACGGCCTCCGGCTGCTCGCCTGAGGGGCAACGATAGGAGGGGACTGGCACAGGGGGGATGCGTCAACCTGGAAGCGGCGATACATCGCCGATAGATCGGAGTAGGTCCCCGATAGTGAATCCGCACCTTCCTGTGCAGATTGGGGGGCATCGGGCCCCCTTTCGTTGCCCCTGACCGCCCTCGAGGACGCCAGGCCGCCGGCGCACGCCGCAGGTGCGCTCGGCGGCGGCGGGCTCCGCGCCCGCGGCGCGGCGCCTGGCAGCCCCACAGCTGGCGGCGCACCGCGCGCGGGCGACGCGGAGGCCAGCCGCGCGGGGCTCCTGGGGAGGCAGAGCGGAGATGAAGACGAAGCCAGGACGAGGATAAAATCGGCCAAGGCTCCTCCTTCTCCTCCAGCTCCTCCTCCTCCTCCTCCTCCTCCTCCTCCTCCTCCTCCTCCTCCTCCTCCGCCTCCGCCTCCGCCTCCGCCTCCGCCTCCGCCTCCGCCTCCGCCTCCGCCTCCGCCTCCGCCTCCGCCTCCGCCTCCGCCTCCGCCTCCGCCTCCGCCTCCGCCTCCGCCGCCGCCTCCGCCTCCGCCTCCGCCTCTCCTCCCCTCCCTCCTCCTCCCCTCTCCTCCTCCTCCTCCTCCTCCTCCTCTCCTCCTCCTCCTCCTCCTCCTCCTCCTCCTCCTCCTCCTCCTCCTCTCCTCCTCCTCCTCCTCCTTCCTCCCTCCTCCTCCTCCTCCTCTCCTCCTCCTCCTCCCTCCTCCACCACCTCATCCTCCTCCTCCTCCTCCTCTCCTCCTCCTCCTCCTCCTCCTCCTCCTCCTCCTCCTCCTCCTCCTCCTCCTTCCTTCCTTTGCCTCCCTGATGCTCCTCCCCCCCCCTAAAACGAAGCCAGGACGAGAATAAGATCGGGCAAGGATGAAGCGAGAATCTCTGAGATCCGGCGGCCCTGGAGGATGTCTTGGGCGCCGCGGCCTTCTCGGAGCGTTCCGGAGCGCTCCGAGAGCGCTCCGGAACGCTCTGGAGCGGCGTGATCCTCGTCCTCGCCCCGTCCATGATTCCCACACAGCTGTAGCCCACGGACCTCTCCTGGGGCGCCGTCGGCCCAGGACCTCGAGGCGCGGCCGCGGTGGCGAGAGGAGGGTGGTAGCATCGGCACCTTCCGGGATCCGACGTTCGTTACAGCCAGACTGCAACATCGCAAACGAGCACAACTGCAGCCCCCGATCCCATCTTTCTGCACAATTTTTCGAGCCCGACCGATCTGTGAGGGTCCCGGGGGGCCGAAACCCGCCCAGCTCGAAAGAATGGAGAGGCCCGGATCTCAGGGTTCCCAGAGTCCCGACGTCATGATTCCCAACCATCCTGTGGTGTTGGGTCCTCGTTTTGAAGTGACAGCGCCCCGCGTTCTCCTCCTCTCCTCTCCTTTTGCTGCTCCCTCCTCCTGTCCCTGCCTCTGCTCTTCTCGTGTCAGCATCATCGTCATCATCATCACCATCATCATCGTGATCGTCATCGTCACCGTCACCCCCGTTTCGGCTCACGCCTCTCACGTTTCGTGGCCCCATGGTGAGATGCACCCAAGGCCCCGGTGGCACCATCTGCATGCGGGCGTCGACCCCGTTTTCGGCACACCCCTCGCACGCTTTGTGGTTCCATAGGGAGCTCTAGCTAAGGCCAATGGCACCGTCCACACGTGGGCGTCACCCCCGTCCGTGTTGGCACACCCCTCTCACGTTTCGTGGCACCATAGGGAGCTCCACCCAAGGCCCCAGTGGCACCGTCCGCATGTCAGCGTCACTCCGTTTCGGCACACACCTCACACGCTTTGTGGCTCCACAGGGAGCTCCAGCTAAGGCCCCAGTGGCACCGTCCGCATCTGGGCGTCACCCCTGTTTCGGCACACCCCTCACACGTTTTGTGGCCCCATGGTGAGATCCACCCAAGGCCCCAGTGGCACCGTCCGCATGTGGGCGTCGCCCACGTTCCGGCACACTCCTCACACGCTTTGTGGCTCCATAGGGAGCTCCAGCTAAGGCCCCAGTGGCACCGTCCGCATCTGGGCGTCACCCCCGTTGCGGCACACCTCTCACAAGTTTCGTGGCCCCTATAGGGAGCCGCGGCTACGGTCCCAGTGGCACAGCCCGCATGCGGGCGGTGCCCTATAAGGAGTTTCACAAGACGGTACTCTCAACTTCGGTACCCGCACAACTGCATAGGTTGGGTTCTTCGCCAGACTAATTCGTTTCATGACGTGACCCCCAGGGGTCTGGACCCATTCCCCGGACCGGTTTCTCATCCTGAACCGTTTTTTGACGGGCCCGCCGATGCCCTTGAAGGGTCACCAAAGGCCGAAACTAGCGAAAAACCTCCCGTCGCGATTTTTCCACCACGCGAGGAAACCTGAAGGTTTTCCTCCTCTGAGCTCCGGGCGGCCACTACCACGCCCTGGAGCGGCCTCGCGCGAGGCGGCGCGGCGGGCGCGGCGGCGCTGGAGGCCCGCGCGGCGCCGCGCGGCGCGGCCGGCGCGGCGGCGCTCGAGGCGCGCGCGGCGCCGACGGCCGAGGGCCCGCAGGCCAGGGGGCTGCCGCTGGCAGTGGCGCCGGCGGGGCGGAAGCGCCCGCCCTGCGCAGGAAGCCGAACTCTATACAATGGAGGCCAGTCCACAACGAACCGAGCCCTCAGACCCCAGGACGTCCATGGGTTTTGGTATGGGAACGTCACGCTGTCCAGAGCAAAAGCATCGGAACCCAAGAAACCCAGGGCACCCTGGAGGCAAGCAGGGTATTTCTTTGCATGGGTCTCCACTGTACACCAGCGCTTTTTGCGGCCCTGCACTGAAGGCTACCAGGGGAAAGGGTTCCTGGTGTATACGGGATCCTGGTGTACACATTCTTCGCTGCTTCCCCAGGAAAAACAAAAGGAAAAGCATACACCACACCACCCCACCCCGACGTCGCCCTCTACCCTCGAAAAGTCCTGGGATTGAAAGCAGCCCACCACTGGTATGGGTGTGGCGTGGCGCTGACAGCGTATTGGGTGTTACCTTCTCGTGTCGTTGTGGCTGTCGCCGCACTCGGGACATCCCACAACATAGTTGCGAGTATGCCCTTCGTGCGTCACGTCGTCACTGTACTGGATACCGCCAACTGCACGATAGCCCAGAGGAGTGCGCATCGGGATTTCGACCTGCCAGCCTGAAGGGAATCGGTGGCTGTGGCGATGTGTCGAGCATCAAGAGAGAACGAAGACAGGCAGTCCCAGAAGATATCTACCAGTTTCCGACAGCTGTGGCGCCGGCAGCCCCGCGCGGCAGCCTGGGGCGGCCCACGCCGACGGTCCCAGCAGGGCGGAGGGCGTGAGCGGCGGCGGCACCGAGCGCGCGCCGGCGCCAGCGGGTGCGGAGAGCATCGCACGCCGCCCGGGGGGGGCACAAGCCCGGAGAGCGGCTGGGGGGCGTCACGGGCGCAGCAGGACCCAAATGCCAGCTCGAGCAGCAAGCTCTTGCCTCTCTCTCTCTCTCTCTCGCTCTTTCTCTCTCTCTCTCTCTCTCTCTCTCTCTCGCTCTCTGCGCACCGCTTGACGCGCCGCAAGGCCACGAAGACCCTCTATGTCTGTTTGTATGTATGCTAACGGGTGTACATGTGTGTGTGAATGAGTATGTATGAATGTATGTATGTATGTATGTATGTATGTATGTATGTATGTATGTATGTATGTATGTGTGTGTATGTATGTATGTATGTATGTATGTATGTATGTATGTATGTATGTATGTATATATGTATGCATGTAGTTATGTATGTATGTATGTATGTGCGTGTGTTAGTATATGTGTATGCATGTGGCGTTAAGTTCGTGTATTCCTAGATCTCTAGATAAAAATATGATCTATACCTGTATATGTGCACATGTGTGCAAATCAATATCTAGGTTTACAGCTACATATGCGTATCCGCCACCGCGCACCGATGAACGAGTTGGATCATCAGCATCATCACCATCATCACCATCATCTCATCATCATCATCATCATCATCATCATCATCATCATCAGCATCAGCATCAGCATCAGCATCAGCATCATCATCATCATCATCATCATCATCATCATCACCATTACCACCACCACAAAATCATCATCATCATCGTCATCATCAACACCAGCAGCATTATCATAATCATCATCAGTACCACCATCATCAGCATCATCAGCAGCAGCAACATAATCAGCATCACGATCATCAACATCATCGTCATCATCAAAATCATCATCACCACCACCTCCACCATCAGCATCATCATCGCCATCATCGTCATCATCAGAATCAGCAGCATCATCATCATGATCATCATCATCATCAGTATCATCAGCAGTACATTATCACTATTAGCATCAGCATCATCATCAGCACAACCATCATCAGCATCAACAGCAGCAGCATCCCCACAAACACCATCACTATCACCATCATCATCATCATCAGCATCATCATCATCATCGTCATCATCATCATCACCAGCATCATCATCAGCATCAGCAGCAGCATCATCATCACCATCATCAGCATCATCAGCAGCATCATCATCGTCATCATCATCACCGCCCCCGCCACACCTCCCCCGTTCATCTCCCGCCCCCCAACCCCATCATCATTGTATGCCTCCTCGTCCACCGACTACTACTCCTACGGGTACGTCCACACCACTCGCAGCATTAGTACTAGTACTACTATTCCTGGTATCTGCCCCTACTCGCCACCGTCTCCTCGCCACTAGCATCCGATTGTTTGTCCTCCTCGAACGTACGCAAATCCTAGGGCGCCAGGGGCATACACTGCGGTCACACACACACAAGAGAGAGAGAGTGAGAGAGGAGCAAGACAGCAATTGTGGTTGACGGCTCTCGTCGTTGGGGGGAGCTCGTCGCTGCGCCTCGCTGGCCGTTTCAGCTGCGGCAGCTGAGGGGCCTTCGCAGGACAAGCCAACTGCAGGAGCGAGCTGCTCAGATTGCCACCGCTCCCACCAGACACCCGAGTTGGGGGGGGGGGTCCCTGGGCAGAACGCGGCTGCCTTCTACAGAGTCCCCGCTTCATTCGCCCCTCACAGCAATCCTCTTAAACCCACCTCACCCCATCATCATCCTCATCATCAGTAGCAGCATGATCACAATAATAAAAAGGAACGTGATAATCATCATAATAAGTGTAATGATAATACTAACAATAACAACAAAACTAATAATGATAATACTCAGGACACTTACTATATAAATAATGAAAAGAATGACAAGAATACGTATCAGCATCACCATCAACATCAGCATCAGCATCATCAGCAGCAGCATCAGCATCACCATTATCAACAGCAGCGGCATCGCCGTCGTCATCACCATAGTCATCATCAACAGCATCACCATCGGCGTCCTCATCCTCAACCTCATCCTCATCATCCTGATCCTCATCATGCATCATCAGCATCATCATCATCCTCAGAATCAGCAACATCATCATCAGCATCAGCAGCCTCATCATCAGCATCGTCGTCAGCACCATCATCAGTAGCAGCATCAGCATCATCAGCATCGTAACATTCCTCATCCGCAGCTTCATCATTATCGTCATCATCATCAGCATCACCATCATCAGCATCATCATCACCACAAGCATCATCAGCATCATCATCATCATCATCAGCATCATCATCATCAGCATCGTCATCATCATCATCATCATCATCGTCATCAGCATCATCAGCATCATCATCATCATCATCAGCATCGCCAGCATCATCATCAGCATCATCATCGGCACCAGCATCAACAATATCAATCATCATCATCATCATCATCATCATCATCATCATCATCATCATCATCAAAAGCATCATCATCAGCATCATAATCGGCATCACCGTCCTCAGCATCATCATCATCAGCAGCATCATCAGCATTATCATCAGCATCATCATCGTCATCAGCATCGTCGCCCTCACCAACAGCATCATCATCTGCATCGCCATCGTCATCAACAGTATCATCGGCATCATCAGCATCGTCAGCATCATCAGCATCATCATCTAAACATCATCATCAGCATCATCATCAACATCAGCATCAACATCGTCGTCATCAGCATCATGAATATAAGCATCAGCATCATCAGCATCAGCATCCTCGTCCTCAGCATCAGCAGCAGCATCATCATCAGCAGCATCATCGAAAACACCATCAGCATCAACGCAATAAGCATCCTGATCGTCATCATCATCATCATCATCATCATCATCATCAGCATCAGCATCATCATCATCATCATCATCATCATCATCATCATCATCATCATCATCATATTCATGTTCCTAGTCATCATCATGGTCATCATCATCAGCATCATCATCATCATCGTCAGCAGCATGATCATCAGAAGCATCATCATCAGCATCATCAGCATCATCAGCATCATCAGCATCATCCTCATCATCATCAGCATCGTCGTCATCAGCATCATCATCATCCTCAGCAGAAGCAGCATCATCATCAGCATCAGCATCATCATCAGCATCATCAGCACCATCATCAGCAGCAGCATCATCAGCATCATCGTCATCATCAGAACCATCATCATCATCATCAGCAGCAGCAGCATCGTGATGATCGTTATCATCAACAACATCAGCAGCATCATCATGGTCATCGTCATCGTCATCGTCATCGTCATCATCGTCAACATCATCGTCATCGTCATCTTCATCCGCCTGACCATCATTATCATCCTCATCATTATGATCACCATCATCAGCCGTATCATCATCATCAGCATCATCATTATCATCATCATCATCAGCATCATCATACTCATCAGCATCATCATCATCGTTATCATCCCTCCGTGGCCATGTTGGGTCAAGATGTCTGCACCAAGGGGGGCTCCGTGCCTCCGCGCCAGGCTGGATACCGATTGCCCGCGGCAGTCCCCTCGACCCTTCGCACGCGGGAGCTGCGCGGTGCGCGGACGGTTGCACTTTGCTGAGCCCCCGGGGGGGGGGGGAGGGGCAGACGGCGACCATGGGGCGCCGACAGAAGGCAAGCGGCAGCGACGACAGTACTACCAGGCGTGCGTGCGCGAGCGGGCGGGCGAAGCTTGGATCAGCGATGCCTCGCACATGTCCTGCTTCCACTGTGGGCTCCGCAAGCCCACGTCGTTCGGCAGCAATGCGGAGAGCGCAGAGCCATCCGGGTCGGCGCGCGAGCCAGCCACATGGCACTCGGCGCGGGCCGATGGAGCCGCCCGAAAGGAAGGACGCGAGGGAGCTGGAGCAGCTTCGGCAGCGTTGCAAGATGCTGGAGGCCGCCACGCAGTCCAGGGCCAGGGAGGCCAAAACGAGCAACGTAGAGTACATCGCCTCTGGCGGTGAGGCCACCGATGAGCACGCGCGGGGGCGGCTCAGCGATCTGGACAGGGAGCTCGCGGCAGTGTCGGCTACACGCAAGAGCGACCCTGGGCAAGAGTGACCTTGAGTGCGCGGCTCAACGGGGAGACGTGGGGTCGCCATACACGAGCGCGCCAGACGCCCACTGCCGCATCGCGCTCGGCGATCGGGGGGCCCCAGTGGGCCCGCACCAAAGGTCACTCTGGCGAAAGGTCACTCTTAGATCTAGTCACCGTCGACAGAATATTTGCCACTACCACCAAGATCTGCACTAAGAGCTGTTTCACCCAGGCTTACGCCAAGAGCTTCGTCACAACCCCCCAACGGAGGGCACGCATGGGATGCACAGAGACATACTAATACTATGTGTCCGCCTTGGAGGCGCGCGTCCGACCCGAACATATAGTATACCCATCTTGTAGTACATCGTTTCTCGAGCGGTGCGGCCAGAAAGCGCCCGCCACGACGCATATACTATAAGATTTCTCGGTTCGCGCGTCGCCTCTGGGGGGGCGACGAACACATAGTATAAGTATGCTGGGGGGACGCCGAACGCAGGAGCCCGAGCAGAAGCGCGATCGGTGGCGGCCCAAACTAAGCCACGCGGGCCCAAGCCCACCCGTGCCCCCTATGCCCGCACGGCCGAGGCACGCCCGGAGGCAGCGGAGAGGTGGCCGACCAAGTCCGGGTACACGGTTCCCCCCTGGGCCGTAGGCGGTCCGAGGAGGAGGAGGAGGAGGAGGAGGAGGAGAAGGAGAGGAAGACGAGGAGGAGGAGGAGGAGGAGGAGGAGGAGGACAAGCTAGGTGCGCTCGCGTCATATCTGACGTCCTGCCCCTCCCTCCCATCCCTTACCATGGCGCTGAGTTTCTCTATCCGCGGACGCGTGTCGTAGCGGACCTGTGGCTCCGCGCGCGCGTGCGTAGTGGGTGGTGGTGCGCGTGCGTGCGTGCGTGCGTGTGTGCGTGGTTGTGGTGGTGGTGGTGGTGGTGGTGGTGGTGGTGGTGGTGGTGTGGTGGTGGTGGTGGTGGTGGCTGCTGTGGTGGTGGGTGGTGGTGGTGGTGGTGGTGGTGGTGG